AGAAAATGTGAAAAGTAAGCAGGCACATGTTCAACCCTTCTTCTTAATGAAAAGCTTTAACTCTGGTCTATATGCATGCCTTCCAAACTTTACCAAGTACCACTAAGCTGGAAAACCAAACCTATTGGAGCATGCGGATAGAGACTGAACACAGAATGAGCTTCTTTCTTTTGACCTTGTACTCAACTGGAAAAAAAGCCACTGGCAAGCCACTTCTGTCAGTAATGCTGTGGGTTTTCCCCTCCTATGGGCCGACAGCTTAGCTTAGGACAGAGCAACAGCCCAGGCACAGGCTCCAGCTCAGCTGAGCACCACACGCTCAGCACTCTGGCCCCCTGTTTGCAGCTGCTGGGGCAGAAACAGCACAGATCTGAACCAGAATGCTATCCCCATGGCTTACACAATTCACAGCCTGATTACCTAGATCACAGCCTGCACAGCTCAAGAAGAAGCTCTACAATTTGTCAGTGACCTCCTCTGAAATCATGTTGCACCGGGGCAGCCCCTTGCGGGTGAGCAGGAGCCTTGGGTACGTGCGTGTCCGGATGCTGTCACATCCCTCAGCCTCAAGGGCCAGACCCCGGCCCTCGTTCGTGGGTGAGAGACGCCTGACTGCCTGGAGCTAGCCTGCCTTCAGGCACAGGTGGGACCTCACCACGGCCCTGCACCCTCCACAGCAGCGCTGCCTGCTCGGCACAGCACACGCCAAAACACGGGTGCAGCCACAGAGAAAGCCCCTGGCTTTGAGCCAGCTGGTACCCAGCTGCCAAGTCAGGTCAGAGCATGGACAGAGGGGCCCTCAGGCACCCATCTCTGAACCGATGCTGCACTGGCTCTTGGGGCAGTGAAAACGCTTCCGTTTCGCACCCTGCTTCACCAAAGCTTCACAATATGGATTTTGTGAACTTGCCCTTTTCATTTGTTCTCCCCAATTACGTGTCTTTTAATTAAACTCAGCAGGTTTATTATCAATACCCTACACATTAGAGCTTCTCCTCCTCATTTCACTATAACCTAAGCAGACAACAATCATAACACAACCCACCTGATTTCATGATGAAAATAAACTATGCTATAAATCCATAAAAGCAATGAGGATATTATAATGGAGTTCAAGAGAGCAGTTTTTAAAAGTCTATCCTTTTTTTCTACTGGCTGTCATTAAAATTTTTATTTAAAAGTGTCTCTTACTTGTATTTGCCTAACATTAGCATTTCTTAATACTTAATAGAAGAGCAACAAGTTGCACAGGGACATCTACTGCTGGACCCAACAATACTCTAACAACCACACACATTTCTACCTATTTCCCAATGAACAGAAACGCAGTTCAGTCAGTACGATGAACTGCTCTATCTTGAGAGGATGACAATAAGCTGCTGAATGGGAAAAAAATTAGAGAAACAACCCCACATAAACAAATAAACACAGGCGGTAAAAAACCCTGCTGCACGAAAAAAAATATTTTGTAAAGTGAACAAAAAAAGCTAGGAAGAGAAAGAGCCTATGTATGTGTGGTATAAATATTCAATCAATAAAGTAAATTACCTCTCTCAGTTCTCCAATTCTGCGGAATGCTTTATCCTGAGTTTGACTCAGAATGTCCTTAGAAAAAGAAAGAATAAACATCAGGTATATGAAATGTAACTTTATATATAAAGCATAAATAAATCCACAGAATTCTGCTTCATCAGAAGAATTAAAGACTTGTATTTTTCTTTCAAGTCAAGCTCAATGTGTTTTATCATAAACTGCCAACTGTGGGTTGGCAATTGCATGAACTCAGCTGATGCAATAACAAAAGGCTGGATCACAATAGCTTCAACGTTACTTTGACAAACCAGTATTAGTTTATTCCTCAGAAATCACAGCTAAAGAGTCTTCTGTTACGCACACACACATATACATACACAACGTATTGTGTAAACACACACACAATGCACTGAGAATTAAATCTCTATTTGCACTACACATTCTAAGAGGATAAAAAGTAATGCTTACCTGTAGCTGCTGCTTCTCCCGCTGGATAACTTGATAAGCAGACACTAGCTAAAAAACAGAAATCAGGTATAACGATGATAATGCATGCACTTATACTATCAAGATAAATTGCTTAGTTTTATCTCTATCTGCATTTTCAAACTCTTATCTTCATTTGAGAAAGCTCTTCTGACACAAACATACTTAAATTTAATCAATGTTTCCTTCTTCCATTTAGAAAATATCTCCAATGTCTTAAAAAAATGAAGCCTACATGTCAAAACATTAAGATCATTCAGCATTCTTGCACTCTCTTCCTTCACTGAAAAGAACTCCAAGAAGATCCATGCTTCAACACAGGCTGTCAAAACCCAATCGCATGAGAAAGTTACATCCCACACAGCTACCCTACAGGGGTGTACATCTGTAAGGGTTCACATCCAAGACAGCTGCAGTGAAATTAATTTTACAGTCAGTGTACGTTAAAAAATACCCTTACAACTCTAGAAAAACAACTCTGTGTAATAACAAATGTTTTCATTCCATGTGCTCTGCATATACCCAGCAGGCAAAGGAAGACGGGAAGCGGACAACATTTCTCATTATAAGCCGACAAAAGGACTTAAGGAGTAACTGCACAATTTAGTTTAATTAAAAATTTGATCACAATTGCCTAAGCTGTCCAAAGCTTAAGTAGCATAACGGCTCTTGGAACGAGAATATGCTCTTTACAAATTGCTGGAAATTTAAAGGAAAACAAAGCCAAAACACCAAGCTGAGAAATCTTTAAGTCAAAAGATTTCTTCAAATTCCTATTTAAAATAGAGATTTTTCAGAGTTCAAAACTACTTCTAATTTCAAATTCATACTTATTTTATCTTTAAAAGAAAACTAAACCTTCTATGGATGGTTTCCCTTCCCATATTTTTGAGATGCTAACTTTTTATCCTACTTGAATTGAGAAAAAGCATTTACATCTTAAATACTCATTATAAATTGAAACTACATTCTTCAGAGCTCTGGCAAAACAATTCCTTCCAACCGACCTAAGAAACTCACAACAACTGAAAAAAAAAAACCCACAAGCCTTTTTGATAGAGAAAATTAAAGAGTTCCTAGACAGACTGTGCTAAGAAAACCCAACAAAATCCACCAAAACCAACCTACAAACTGAATTCGCAATCAGTGGCAACACTGTTTAGATAAACTTTTAAAAAAATTTGTCTCCTAACACGAGCTGGAAAACAATGAAAGAATTAATAGGAGACATCAATTACTGAATTAATGGAGATAACTGTTTCTTCAGCCATATGTTGAATACTGTAATTGCTGTACACATATTTTAGATTCCAAGGATTTTGACACTGACAGCCAAAGGGCTGCACAGGTATTTTTGTACCTGAGGGCAGTAAACACTTGAACTGTAAAAGCCAGTGCAAATGTCCAGATTTAAATACAATACACAGACTTCCAAAAACCAAAATCCAACAATACCACGTTGAAATCTTTACTTTTCCCAACAATTTAAAAAATTAGTAGCAAAAGTACTTACAGCATTGGTTTTCATTAAAATAGCAAAAGAAATAGTCCTTGAATTAACTGCTTTCAGGGAATACCTGGAAGTTATGGGCAATAGAACCTCCCTATCTGAAACAAAACGCCTGCCTATTGCATCTGCACAAAACAGACATGGTGCACTTCAACAACAAGTTCCAGAAGAAAAGTCCATTTGATGTCATGCGAGTACGAGCCCTGCTCACCTCTGTGCTCAACTCCACCCCTTGCTACAGGCTTTCAGCAGAAACCTTCATAGGCCTACTTGGTATAAGGAACCACTAATTAACCTCTATTGCTGACAACATGGAATTATTTACAAACAAGAGAAAAACCAGGGAAATCCTTTTCATTAACAGAAAAGCATCTGACCTATCTAAACCAAATACAACCAGACATGCAATAACAACTTAACTTCCAGGTTAGCTCTAAGTCCATCGATTTGCTCCAGACAGGGAAACAAAAGGATTAGCCACTTCTGACTGCAGTATCTGTTGGCCTCATCTTTTTCCCCTCTCCACCCACCTAAGTCACTCACAACACTGCCTACCTCTGAGTATTTTTCATTATAGTAGCCCAAACGGCGGTCCATTTTGTGCAGTCGCTGTAGCATCTGCTCTTTACTGAGGCTGTCCATGTTTCCCAGAGGCTCTTCTGTTTCACTTTCAATGTCAGAAGGTGGATCAAATGTGGGACCAGCTGCGTCCAAGTCCAGTTGATTCAATGAGTCTCTTGAATAAGTTCGTACCAGGGACTCCTTAGAAGAAGAGCGGAACAGGGACTCTTTTAACGGGCTTCGAAACAAAGACTCCATGGAGGGAACTCGGAGCTGCAGCCTCTGAGCCAAAGACTGAGTGTCACTCAGCTGCAAAAATTCAAAGCAAATAATTACTTTTGCACTGCTTTTAGGCAGCACACATACTGAAGACCATGAAACAGACACCTGACCTGGGCAAAGGAACGACTGTTGCCTAACACCTGCATGACACCAAAGAGCTACCACTCACTTAGAATAATCGTCTTCTGCTGAAAAATCAAGCATGCAACTACCACATGTGGGCAATTTCAGGTAGCAATTAAATCCAATAAGGTACACTCTGATTTAAAAGTTCTAAAATAATGTATTTCTGTGTAATCCCCTTAAAAAGTGAAGAACATGTAATTAAAAGAGTTGCATTTACTGTTGTCCCAAATTTTTTTTAAAAATATTGTGACTCAATTCTTGATGTATTAATCAGAAGACTGTACTTATCTCAAAGACACAAAAATATTTTCCGACGATTAAGAGAAGAAATTTATTGTAAAATCCTGTGTACAAGTTCATTCTAGCATGCCATCTTAAACAGTCCTTTTCTTATTTTATTTTAAATGGCTTTACGATTTTTACATAAAATGCAATTATTGATTCATGCGGCTGAAGTACTCACGCTGTTCTAAAACAAAAGGCTCTGTGCTATGGTACCATACGCTGCCACTGCTACACAAGGGATCTGAAAGCGTTACTGCACAATGTTGCCCTCACAACCACATGTTGGGACGCACGGACTAGGAGTCACTGCTAATTCCACTCCAGCAAGCTAAACAGTTTCTGAGACACATTAAAGAATGACCCTCACCTTTACCACTAGTGACAAATTCTTTGAAGCCTGTCAGCTCTTTTCCTTCAGCTAGAAATTTGCTTTCAGGCCACGCCATATGCCCTGTGCTGGCGGCCTCCATGAGCAGTGAGACGCACCTCAACACAAGCAGCCTGCAGCACGCCATCACATACCGCTAACCTGTCCCGGCAAAAAAGCTCCACGCAGCAGTGCCAACCCTGAGTACCAGCTAATGGGATTACACACAAACAAAACACCCTGGTATCCTGACAGGCTGCCTACTGGGCATCCCTGCTCCGCAATGAAGGTACAGATTGGGCACTTACACCAACAGATCACAAAGACAACACAGCGGTGAAGAAGGAAACAAATCCCCCTTGTCATCCCCATACCTGTGTGGAGGCTTGTCCACTTCCATTGTTTTCTGTGGATCTGGGAAGTGGTTGTTTAGTTAAATTCTACAGGAGAGAAAACAACTGTTAGAAGGAACATACTGCAAGTACTACAATTCACTCAATTCCTACAAATAGCATGTGTGCTTCTTCCTTGCTTATGTTTTTAGTACTTTCTTCTGAATGTTTATTAAGATGTCTTCATGCAAACAAGCTAGTTTGTTAAATTCAAAACAGATTGCTGCAATATACGGAACTACAAAGCAGCTACGTGTGCACAGATTAGTATGAGACATCTGCCAATGCTGACATCTCCCATTAAATTATTCATCACTATTAGGTATGTAACATTTATGCACAAATCAAAGAAACACTAAGAAGACAAGATGATAGCAGGAAAATATCTAATTGATGACCAGTGTTGCTTCCAGCCAACATAAGTAACAGTGGAATCCCACCATCTTTCTCTGATCAAGTACATTTTGGGGGGTAGAAGCTACCTGAAAAAAAAGTGCTGGTAACATGTTGGAGAACGGCTTGCAGAGAGCAAGGCCATAGCTCCCTGCAGGAGCTGGTCGGCCATAGCTCCCTGCAGAAGTCGGTCCCAGCCACCTGAGGTAAACAAAGGAAAGAACCCAGGGTACAGTTATGTAAACAAGGATGGAGATCCAGGGCTCAGTTGTGCTAGCGAGGACTGTTGTGAGAACACAGAGATAAGTTGGGGCGTATTTTGACCTTGGGGGTCAGAGGAAAGCAGCCCTGGGAGAGAAGCAGGTTCACAGCAAGAAAGATGTTTATGCATACCAGAAATGCCACAAGGGGTTGGTGTATTATAATGTGACTTTTTAGATGTACCCAATGGCTGAGATATTATAATATAGTTTCTTAAATGTATCCAATAGAGTTACAAGTAGTGTATTGTAGAGTGCTTATATAAGGTGTGATTTCTTTCAATAAAGTTGAAGCTTGCTCTATCATTCACATTGAATCTGCTGCTTGCTTCCTCCGCCTGCTGCAGTAACAGACTGTTTAAGACTCCAAACAAGCACAGGAAGAAAATTAAACTTTCAGAAAAATTATCCTGTGCAAAACTTCACACATTCCCCTGCACTTTCAAACAAACAAAACACCCCACGCACAACACAACAGAAAACAATGCTTTTGGTGGTTTTGGGTTTGTGGGGTTTTTGTTTTTTGGTTTTTTTAGAGTTCACACATTCTGTTTCTAATCTGTCTATCCTGCTTTTCCTATGCCCTGTGTTCAGGTATTTTCTAACCTGGACAAAACCAGATGGTTTTCTGATATCTAAACCAGGTCAAACTGAACTAGCAAAACATGCTAGAAACCATCTTGGATATGAATTTTTTCCAAGAGAAGCAAAGCACAGAGATATATTGAACATAGTAGGAGGAATTCAGAAGCCAAAAGCAGCGTAACTTTTAATTTTTAATCAAGATGCACCCTGATAGTTACATGCAAGCTGTAAAATCTAAGGTTGATATTTCAGCTGTATACTTCTCATAACCATCCATGTATCTGCTACATGATTACACCCACAGCTTCTGCTCTGTGGATACGCAGATAAACAGAAACGTAAATGTAGAAGAGGAATGATTCAGTGTAAAAGGGCCTCAGAAATGTTTGACAGGGAGCAAACTTAAGGACGTCCAAAAATAACAGAGAAGAGAAAGACATCCAGACAGTTAAGGAAGGCAGCGAATTGAGCAGTCACCCAGGTTCAGACAGAGCAAAGTGAGCAAAAACCAGCCGTACAAGAAGTCTGTTTGGATTTTGAAACTGCACTTCACCTGGCCTGAACAAAACCTGTGTTCTGCTTCAGAGCACTGTCTTGTTGCAACCGATTTATTCCTAGTGGATAAACTGCTCTGCCTGGGTTTTAAACTAAAGCACTCCTACCTTTTATTCTCATCTCCATTCCCTGTTCTTTTTCACTTCCGAACTGGAAAGCTAATAATAAGCTTATCTATCTTCTGCTTTATCATTTCCAAAGCATCTTCTCTGCTACTACTGGACTGACAGAGGAAGACCAATACTTTACCAAGAACTATGGACTAACAACAAACACTTCTTTCAAAAATCACATATTCCGATACCATAAAAATAATTAAAAGAAACCACAAAGTGTTTGTAAATCTAATTGACAAGAATAATTTAATAAAATTTAAGATCTAGTTTTAAAACACCAGATTAAGTAGATTTATTAAATCTATGAAGGTGTTTATGAATATAAAAACCATGGATGCTGTTCTTCTCATGAAGATCCTTAAAAAGCTGTCATTTAAGGATCTATGAAGATCCTTTAAAAAAGCCATTTCAAAACTAAAACTCATGTCACCACTTTTAAAATTTTCCTATTAATTGTGACAACATTTTTGTATTCAATCTGTGCAAACAAAAGTAGAACCTGCATTTGGGATTATAGTTTCTATTGACATATATCATAAAAGGGATACCTGTGGTGGTTCAGCTTTTATATGAAAGATTACCAGTGTATCTAGAAGCTGCAGTTCTAAGTCACTTTGCTCGAGTGCAAAGGGTCATATTCTGCTGTCCACACAGTGAAAGGTAAGCATGAATGGAAGTTGCTATATAGAAGTACAGATTCAAGCAGCTTTGAAGAGCTTAAAAGCCCAAGCCTTTCATTAGCCTTTAAGAGACAGATGTTTCAGCAAAACTAGAATCACAGAGCACAGGCTGGCACTTTGAAAGTCTTAAAACCAACAGGGTTACATCAGGGTTTTTGGAAACCAGCAGAAGTCTTTCCTCCACAAACCCACAGAACATACGTAACTGTATCTCCTCTACTCAATGAGAGCTACACTTAGAATCTCTACTCAAAAGGCTGCTTTTTGTTACTAAGATGTATAAACCAGACCTTAATTTTAACTGGAGCACATTAGAGCATTCTAGTGACACTTGTGCTTCCTTACTTCTCTATTTCTGACATGCAAACTAATTTTATTTATTTCTCAAAGGTATAAATAGGTTCCATAAGCCTAAAGAATGGAAGCTTAATGTTTCCATTTAAAAACATTTTACTCTTCTCCCTCCTCAGGTATTCCAAAGCTGAGGAGATTATCAAGGAAGGAATGAGAGCTTAGTTCACATTTTCTTCCTTCATTTTCCTTTAATTTTGCTTTAAAAAAACCTGTCCATCCAAGAATATTTGAATTATTTTTTCATGCAACAAAACCCATACATCTTAGCAAGGAGTTTATACTCACTTCATTTATACAAAAAAATCCACAACTACTGTAATTTCTCTATGATGCCACTCTTGGATCACACATCATTTGCACACACACAGTTAAAATACTGGTCTGTTTTTGCAGAATTAATATGCATTTGTGTGTGCTGATGAAACTTTCCTTCTCCTGCATCTTTAGTTTACCCAAGCTTGCCAAATGTATGTAATGGGGTTTTAAATATATGCTTGTATATAATCAGCCCTCCTCTTCCCTATAAACTAAATCACTGTTTTCTCCCCCCGAATTATTACCATGAAAGTACAGCTCTAGAGCCTTCTAGAGTACAGTTCTAGAGCTGTACCAGTTCTACAGGTAATGTATCATTAATACACGTTGGTAACACAGTAATTCTTACATTATAATTACTCACTATGTATGCAGTCTTGTACATAAATACGCAAGTCAGTGATTCCTACCACTGAAGTATATACTAAAAGATAATACAAAGACAACATTTGAGCATTCAGAACAATACGGATTTTTAAATGCAACTGTACTAGGGATATTCTGTAAGTTATTTGAAGATAGCCCAAAACTGTTGACTGTAAATTGTAAGTTTAAAAAAGCTTAAATACATTTGCAGTGAGATTTTAAGTAGTGATCACTGGACCTGGAATATGGTCAAAATCCCTAGAACTGGAAAAAAAAACCCCAAACATCTAGTAACTACAGATGTCGGCACAGCCTGAATATCCTCTTTGCTCCCCATCCAAAAGCTCAATCTTGTGAACAACATGACTGAGCTAGTAATGAATCTGTACTCTAAGGGCATGCTCTAAACAAGCATAAGCCTTTACAACAAAGGAAGACTTTCCACAGATGATCTTTTTAATCACTGTTTCAGTTCAATCTTGCTTAGCCTGAAAGAGGCAAGTCCAACACAACATGGGCGTGTTGTGCTAAGTCCATCTGCTTATCTAATTTCTATCTTGTTACATCGTTCAGTGACTTCTCATTTTCAGCCTCTTCACGAGCAGCAAAAAAGCACTTGCTAAACTAGAAAGCAAAGTATTCATGAAGCATGAGGATGAGCTGGGATTCTAAAAAACACTGTGTTTTGAATCACTGGACTCAGGAGTGCATGCCTCTGAAGCATTTGGAAGATGCCATCCCAGTCCTGTGACAATAATAAGAATACATTTTTGTAGGCACGTATGTCAAACTAGAAGCCTGCTTTCCTCCCTATGCCTGCTTTTTTTTTTTTTTTCCATTCCTTGTTTGCTTCTCACTGAGCTTCTCTAATTATTTAATGATTAGATTTTTAATAAAGGATTATTTATCCTCACAGTAATAGCTGCCAGGTTACCAACTAGATGTAGCTGAATTTCAGTGTCTATATAAGATAATTATTTCCTGCTACCATTAGTAGTACATGACATTGTGAGACTTTCACTGTACACAGCAAAAAGTACATAATTTTTAGACTAAAACAATCTCAATGTCCATTTATCTTGAAATATATACAGACATACAGAAAAATTAAGAGGAAGACTTTCAATGGCATTAATGAATTCTAAGCAACAAACGCACAAACTTGTGCAGCAATTATTTAAAAGTTGTGTAGAGTATGGTTACCTGTATAACAGAAAACATGTTAATTTTTTTATGTTACAGTAAATTCACACCGTACAGCACACCAGCCAGGAGCTATCAGGTACTACCTCCGTGAAATTTAGTGCAGGGTTAGCAACAGGGTAGTTAAGATAGATGCCTCTGGGAGAACAAGCCACAAGCAACACTAGGTTTGCCTTCTAGTACAGTACGCTCCTCCCCTTGCTAAAGGCATCACTAAGGGGGGTGGGAGGACTCACCACACCGTCACTCTGTGGCTTAGGTTGTTTGGTGGGATCCAAAGCAAAGATAGTATACTCAGAGAGAAAAGCAGGTTCTGCTATCATCCCGGCTAGCAGCTGTCATTCAATGCAAAAAGCAGGAAAATCAATCAAGAAGTAAGGTAAAGAATGTTGCATGATTTTACTCAATTTTCCTACACTATTAAAAACATTCTAAAACAATACAGTAGTTTATGAGACAACAGAGATTGATAAAGGCAGGACATAACCAGAAAATATGCATTAGATCATTTCAGAACAGCCAAAATACAGTTTTGATCATTTAGAAGTAAAGAAACACACAATTTTAAAAAAGACCTTAGTTTAGGCAAAGATAAAGACAATATTTCAGGCACTGATAGTGTAATTTTTTCTGCAGATGACTTATCTTCAGATACCACTGAGTCTTCTTCGCTCTCAGTTATGTGTGAAACACTCACTAGTCTAAAAATTCTATGGGTTTTTTAGCTATAAACAAATTGCATGCTTTTTACTATCTTCTACTGTTCTTACACACTAGAATTCTAACTACATCAAAAAAGAACTTCCTTGCAAAATTTTTCAAACTGCTAGCAGATTATTTTGTAAAAACACAAGTTAATTAACCATTTTATCAAGTTAGTATGAAAGAAGAGAATTAAATTCCTAGAGACAAAACACATGCAGACTAGAATTTGAATTCAAACTGGACATGTACATATAATATAAAGCAACCTAATGCTGTTAAGATGATGCAACAGATTTCAAACATTATTTCTAATGAGTTTACTCACACACAAAAGTTCAAGGTTCAAATTTCTTATTGTCTGAGATTTCAGAACTGTGCTGTCTGCAGACTGAACTAAATCACAACATGGTTTTTCTTTCCCATTATTTCAGAACCATTGTTTTATTTCAAGTTACTAAATAGTATTTTTAGGAAATCTATTACAATGTAAGTTCGAGTTTGATTTTTTTTTTTTTTTTTTTTTTTTTTTTTTTTTTTTTTTTTTTTTGGTGAACATTACACTAACTCCAGTACATAAACTCAGAGAGGAAAAATATCTTCATGTGTAAGATCTGGAATGCTACATGACTTGCAATTTGTGTCCACAAAACCCTTTCAGACAATGTATAACTGCTTAATGTTCAGTGTCAGCCATACACAATAGTCTCTGAATGTCAGTACTGATTCCCTATGTCTTTTTTTCTAATATATCTACGCTGAAAAACCCAAATTACTGAAAAACCTGTGTAACTGAGACCTAAATTACCAATCCGGCAGAAAACAATGCAGAAAGAATGTGCTTTTACTGCCTCCTGTTTGATTCACTATATTATATACATACACAAATACACACATACCCCCTTTGTACAAATCTCCATTGCTGGAGAATCCTGCTAGTTATGTCAGAAGACCTTCTAGAGCTGCAGAAGGAAAGCAGCTTAGTTTCACAGTCAAAAAAGAACCAAAACCAAACACTACAAAACTGTGAACTGTCTTTATAGACACTGTATCTGCAGAGCATTTATGCCCAACTTTTACTTCTCAGATTGCTAAATACAGTGACAATTAATTCTGACTCCTATTATTCAGCTGCCCTTGTCGTGGCATTACCAAAGCTGGTCCAGGACAGTAGTTTGATTTGCCAAGAACTAGCTAAGTCCAAGAAATTCATGTGAAACTTCTCACTTTTAAGATACTACAAAGACAAGCTGCTGACAACAGAGATGCTCGCATTTCTCCTGCTCCTAATCTTCTTTTCCCCCTGGTCTGGACACACTTGCTTAGTGCATCTACTGTGGTCACATGCTGAGTTTGGTCAGACCGGTCACCAATCCCTCTCTCTCAGCCTGTCAGAAATATAATTCCTAAAAGTAAGCTGTGTTAAAGTTCCTGCTGTATATTTATTCAAGTGTGTAAAAACCACTTAAGTTTCTTTTCTCATCTGAGCTTTTAGGCAAAACAAAAACAGGGAAATTGACAAGTGTTTCCAGCAAATCTTTGTTAAGTGGCAATGGCTGTACAAGCTCATAGCCTTAGCTGTGCTGTGCATTTTGTACATGTACTTCTGGAAAGGGTACATGCCAGAAAAAGAAATGGCAAATACTAGGTACACACAAGCATACAAACATACAGCAGCAGCACTACAAGCAAGCCTGATGGCCTTGCGAATTAGAAGCATGCAAATTCTCAACCACAAATAAAATTATGAAATCTTGAAGACAGAAATTACTTTGTATGTTTAGAGAAGACCAGTTAAGATGATCAAACACAGTTTGTAACGACTTCATACATGGATTACGGCAAATAGTAACCAAAATATTATGAACATTTTCAACACATGCACCATATACTATCTTCACCTTAAGTCACTTTTAAAGACAGGACTGGCAAGAACTTCAGGAATCACAGATGATTCAAATTATCTCTTCATAGTAATGGTATGCTAATATTTGCTTCTCAAAATATTAAATTGTGCCATTTCACCAACAGCATTATTTTACTTAATCCTAATTCCATTACATAGTATACCAAGCAATTAGCATTAAAAAGAATTTCTACTTAATCTCTAACAAGTTAGTATTCTTCACCCGAAATAAAAAAAAAAAAATTCTTGGACTGTCAATATGTTCAGCATCCATGAACTGTTATATTGTTGATCATCCCCAGAAGTCCACAACCATGTCAGTGCAGCCAAGTTCTAACAGGAGGCTTAGACAATAATTCTTTCACAAAACAGTAACTACAAACCCCCAAATTTACAGGTAAGATAACCAAGATCTTTAAACAATGGAAAGAGTTAATTTAAAAAATTCACTCAAACTAGCTGGTAGGCAAGTGATAGGGGGTGTCTGTAACCCCTTTTTAGCAAGATCAGAAGATGCAAGCTATCCACAGCCTAAATATGCCAATCTACATTACTAACTGTTACAGTTATGAGAAAAAGCAAGAAAAAAGCTTAGAGATATAAACTGATGCAGTACTGCTTGAGTTTGCAGACACAGACCACCAGGGTCTCTACCACAACTAATACTTTCCCCAAACAATAGAACGTGATTAACAGTATTGTCGAATGTCACAGATGTCAGTCAGAACCCTGATGCAAGAACACCACTACATCATCTCAGCTTCACCCTACTGTTTCTTGAGTAAAGGCAAGCACAAAAGGGAAGGAGCCAACCCTACAAATGAAGAAGGGCAGAAGGCAACAATACTGAGGCAGAACAGTAATCACTACCAAAATGAAATACAAAATATTTTGTCTCCAGTACTCAAGACAAGTTTCACACTTCAAATAGCTACCAAAGACAGAATATACTCAGTCACATTCCAAGAGTGATATTTCCTTAGCACTTCAGAACCAGCTATATCTTCTCATTAGTGAGTTCATCCTGTTCTCAGATGTTGGGTGCCCAACAATGAAAATACTTACGTACTTACTCACAGTATTTTTGTTACTCCAGCAGCTCATTACCAGCTACATTTTTACACATAAATTATAGGCAGAGTTGTCTAATGAGTCCTGTAATTACACTACCTACCACTTTCTAATATATACACGTGGTTTTATCTGCACTTTTAAATTTTTTTAACTATTCAGTATGGCTTTAAAACTAGCTGTGTAGTTAACTTAGAGGGAGGAAGGGTATTAAAAGTCACTAAAAATTATTCACCTATGCCTGGAAAAAAGGCAAGAAGCAACCTGCCAGTCAAAATTAAACAGATACAAGTATCTCCACAATGGATTCTTCAACTTCAGTATCTGGCCTAAAACACACTCTGAATTATCTTAGTAGCTTCAGAAACAATAAACATATCTGGTGCTATACTGTCTAATGCATCACTAGCACATTAGTGCTATGCCAGTAACATGATCAATAAAACCAGACAAGCAGGGAATCCAAATGGGCTGAAGCATAGTAGAAACCCACAGAATGTGCAGAAATGTAAATAATCCTTTAACTGTCTCTAATCCTCTGAATGCCATCAAACCACACTTGAAGCTTGCTATAAAAATCCTGCTAAGATCTTCCAACATTCTGTTTTAAACATGCTCCTGGGTAGATGAACTCCCTAACCCAGACCACCCTTAATCTCAGGCACCAATTTAAGGCTATGGTACTGCGGGTCTTTTGTCACAATATTTAACTCCTATCCTTTTTTTTGCAAGTAAAATCTTACTAACCAACAAACACGTCTATCTTGGAAAGAAAGCTACAAATGAGGCAAATTAGGGGATGAAGCCAGACACGAGATGACACTTTTATTTCCTTCAGTATTACCAAAATACACATCAAGTTATTGTTAAAATAACCTTGTATTTCCAAAATTCTGAACAGTTTTTGTAGCCCTCAAGTTTGGCCTAAATTAAGCAACCTTACTTGTTCTTTACCAACTGTGTTAACATTATTCTTGCTATTCCTCCCTCCTTCTGAAGAATTACCATGCTCAAATCTTCCTCTGCCAAGATTCTGATGAGTGGGGAGCAAAGGCCAACGTACATGCAATCCCCAGATCAAAGGGACATGCTGTGAAACAAAACCCAGAATTTAACAGGGATTAAAGTTTGATCAAAGTGTCATTGCTCTGGAGATGGCAGTTGGTGAATGAATGAATGTTACATACATATAACATGTTTGATTGTCAAAGGCAGTCATTCCCTTTCAGAAGAAAAAAACCCCAAAAGAATCAATGGTTCCAAATTTCAGATTACTCTGATATCAAGCAAATTTGAAAATTCATACATTTTGTTAGCAAAGTACATAATGGTATCTGTGCATCTGTAATATGCTAATGCTTAAAAGCTTTAATAATTGTATGTGGACAGTTTAACTATGTTGTATACAAGCACAGTAAGACAGAGGAAAAGGGATCAAACTACAAATTTGCCTGAGACAAGCCGGTATTTGCTCATCTAGTTCAAGGAGCTGGGAGATGTCAGCTATCAGGCCAAACATTTAGAGCTTCAAATCTTACTGAGAAGTAACCTCTTCCCCACAGTAAAATAAATAAATTTGGTTATTTGTCCAAGTTGCGGAATGCCAGAAAAAAGCTGTGAATAATTTAGTAATTTGCTGATTTACACAAATATTTATTTACAGAAGATTTGTGCAATTTGGAACACAACCTCTTATACCTCATCACTACTGTGATCAGGGAATAGAAAAAAACTGAAGAGCTGAAAGTTGAAGGTTTCTCTCTGCAACTAAAAAAAAGCCCCAGAATCTAAGAGTACAGAACTTCATTTTCAGAAAGAGGTAGTACAGAAATCAAAATACAACTCTTTTCTGGTTTGCTTTTCATTCTGATGAGCAATCTAATGATCCTGGTATACACATCAGGAGTTGTAAAATCCAGGTTTTAGATACAAACTAGGTTATACAGCCTCCAAAATTTAGTTTTAAATTTGCATGTCAGAAAGGAAAAAAATATAGACATATCTGAACCACTACCATCTTTGCATGGCAACCTCTATTTAGAAGTACTGCAAATTGGGTGTATGAATACAGGAAAGATGCAGCATTAACAAAGCCCATGCTAGAAAAACATTTCAATTAGTTTTAAAACACAGCTGCTATATGTGTTTTAAAACACAGCACTAAAGTAAGACTGAAAAGTACTTTGGCTAGTTTATCTTTAGCTCTAGGAAGAGCTATATATATTGTGCTCTGCTGCCACTTCCATGGCACTCATGAGGATGTGAGTGATATTTGGATCTGCATGACTGATAGGTCATCCACAGCAAGCTATCAGCTGTTTGCTCACAGTTCATGGCTCCAAAGTAGCTTTGTTATCCTCTGCAGGTGAGCCTGACATGTAAATAAGTGTATTACAGAACAAAAAGAAAATTTTGAACCTTAGGAACTAGACTGAATATGTCTGAACAGAATTTGAGGTGAAATACATCAAGAGTCAATGCAGTAACAGTTTGAAAACCAAACCCTATCCTTCCCGAGAAAAGACTGGAAGCTCCAAGTAAGCATTCAGGGCTGTTTCAAAATGGCACCGAGACCAACCCAGAAAGCATCTGCTACGTAAATTGTCTGAAGAAGTTCTATGTCATAGTTTATGGACTACTTGCAAGAAGAACACAGAACTAGACAGACTTCTGCCTTTTCCTTATACATGACAAAAGTTATGAGCTTCTCTGTAACACTCTCTCTGGAGATCCACAGCACCATTAAAATAGATGTTGAAGAAGAAAGTGGGCAAGAAGTTCATCTACTGTGCTCCATTCATGGAATACGTTAAACTGAGACCGTTTTGGAATTTTGAAAAAAAAAAAATCATCGTAGAATATAAAGCAAGAATGTTTGCTTGTACATTTTATAATTCTTTGATCAGACAAATGCTGTCATTTACAACTGTAATTCACTCTGAACTTGTTTTTATTCTAAAAATATTCCGATTTTAAATCAAAGCTTGCATATGCAATACTTGCAACTTTGATATTACAGCACTGAAAATCTAAATATTTGATCTGTTAAAGACATACTAAAACATAATAGGCCAGAGGGAGCACAGAGAACATACAAAAGAACTATGAAATACTGCATTCTTGCTTAGCTTTCAGTACCAAAAGGGTTAGCATTTATTCATGTACCTCAAGAACACTGTAGCATGATACTCTTCAAACACCAAACATTTTCAATGTATTGTCATCCAACTTTAACTCATTAAATGCCACTGTCATTGACACCTGTACATAAAATATCTGCCTGATCAAATGAGAACATTGCAAAAAATGCCCCCTCAAAGATGTAATGCACTCATATAATCAGGACATCTATTTCCAGAGATAGTACGTAATATCTGCATCTTTTTTAAGCATAGTAATACTGCTGCTGAACGGAATTTTATGAAAATCTAATCCAACAAAGAATTTTCAAACCTGATTTGCTTTTAATTAATCTGTTAACATTCATGAGAAATATCTGAAGGAAGGAGATTTCATGTCTTGATCATTTAAATTTATTTTAGTAAAATTTCCCATTTAATGTAAAACCAGTCCTAAGAAACCAAAAGAAGATTTTCGTTCCCTTGGTAGCTTCACTACTTTCTGAATTTTCAACTAGACGATATGTCTCACAAGTGAAATCCTCATAGCAGCTCCCTAAGCCCAAGGATAGCTGTAAATCTCAGGTCACTTTAGTACCCAGTATCCATTCTTAATCTTATTTCTCCTTCTGCCTCTCTGATCACTCCAGTGTAACCACTGTATTTAGATCATATTGTTCTTCCAACTTAACTTGTAATGTACCATGGGGAATTCTTTGCTTCTTAAGTTTGTCTGGAAAAGCAATATGAAAAAACAGCCTGCTGGGGGGAGGGCAGGTGCAACCTAAGTCTAATGCGCTACAAGATGAAATGTAGTTCTCCACAGAAATGACAAACACTACAGAAAGCATTGGTACAAACAGGTGACATATCAGTAGCATTCAACAACATATGGAAATGTATGTTTTAAATATGTTACCTGAATTGTGAAAAGAGCTAGTATCTTTTACTGAATCAACTGATAAAACTGAAAGAAAAGATGAGCCTTCGGGCTCACAAACATTTTTCAGATCTGGAATAAAAGCAGACATCCTCAAAAACAAAAATAAGAAGTATTCTGCCTTTCACTCAATGTGTGAGTTATACTATTTGATCTGAAAAGCAGTTGGTAGTTGTATAATAAAAGGGATGAGGAGTGTCACCACTTGGTCTTTCCCTTTATTATTTCCCACCAAAAAGAGAGAGGAAAATTTTGTGTAGGCAGGGCCAAGTTAATGACAGACAAAAGAAGTAAAATAGTCACACAGAGGAAAAATCACTGTTTCACAGCTTCAGTATTTCATATTCCACTAAGCTTTTGCTGCTTAAAAGGTCTGAACATCTTGGCCAAATCTCTAGCACGTTCTACAATGGATATATATAAATTTTAAAATAAAAAAAGGGGGCGAGGCAACCTTCATGTTTGCATTGGTCACTGATGACACCAACTCTCAGCACCAACTCATTCCTTCTAGGCCACAGTGATAGTTCTCATGCAGCAATATGCCACTTCAGTACTCTGCATTAAGAACAGAAATGCTGGATGTTTTTCCTAAAAAAAAAACCCCAACAAAACAAAACAAACAACAAAAAAAAAAAAAAACACCAAAAAACCCCAACCTAAAAAACAGCAAACTCTCAATAATTTATCTGGGTGACACTGCTTGCTGACATTATGGAGCATCAGTTAACAGAAAACCTCTCCCCAGGGTCAGAGTGAAGTCATCACATACATACACATATAAAAACAGCAGAGGAAAAAAGCATTTATTAGAAAATTTAATGCGACATTTCAAAAATACAAAACAAAATCATGAGGTATTCTTGCTTTCCTTTCTGTTATCATTGCAGGAAGCAAACCACCAAGGTGTAATTGTAGCATTCATAATGGAATTTTAGACAAATTTCAGGTTAACTGATCATCCTCAAGAAAACATGGCATTAAAAATTAACTGTTCCACTGCAAGAAAACACATCTTTTTTGTAGCAAAACTCAACAACTCGATTTTCTGGTTGGGAACTCAACACTTCCTCTGACAAAGCTTACAGAACCACAGAAGTTCCCTGCTTTACCCCACCGGCCTATTTTCACATTCTCTAAATCAGGGCTTTTTTGGATTGTTTTTCTTTTTTAAATCAAGCCACTGAAAAAAAGCCACACTACTTAATATTGAAAAAGAGGTGTGCAGATTAACTCCTGTGCTTCCTCTATTATGCAAGTCATGGTTACCCATCATCCTGACAGTGATTTTAATATTTTATGGTTGATAATTTAGACTCAGTTTGGTTTGTTTGGATTTTTTTTTTTTTTTTTCACATTTTATAATGATATGGTTAGAAGCATTCACCATGGCTCAGTTCAAGCCTTTAGGCTGTTGAAGCCTGGGCAGCTAACTGGATTCCCCCAACTTTTCAACCAAAAGAGGCATAAAAAAAAAAGTTAGTCTCTCTGAATGTTACTTCGGTCCCACTACCTTGCTGAGTTCAGTTCAGAGATAAGATTTTCAAGACCTGAAGACAGATTTAAAAGGTTTCCTATTCTGGGGGTCAACCACTACAGCTTAAAGGTCTGTTTTACTCATCTTAAACACTTCATTATTTAACCTAAAAATTAGACTATTCATAACTATAAATGCACAGAAAATAGTGAAATTGAGGAAACAAAAAGAAGTTAATCAAGGACCAAAAGTTAAGATTTTTTTAAAAAGTTAAAGTTGAAAAACATAGAAAAACGGTTCTCAACTGACCTCTTTGTCTGGTGTTAAAGTGCCTTCATCATTCTGATCTGTGGACAAAGATGTCCTCCTTCTGTTGCCAGTTGGTGAACGGGATTCAGAAGGGACCTACACAGAGATCACATATATCCAGAAAAATATTAACAGCAGAACTAATTATTCCATATCATAATTTACTTCAACAGTTATTAACTGTAACACCTCAGTAAAGTCCAGTCTAGATGTTCCTTTTAAACAACCAGCTCCACGTACTGTCTGGGAAAGTTCTACCTTACTACAAAGTCTCCAGAGCCGACTACATCATGAAGCAGCCACAAGAGCACGTCACAAAATCAGGTAGTTTGATTATTTCTGACCATGGTCCTTTTACACCAGATTTGAAACACAAGCCTCATAATACTTTAGGAACATAGTACAGTTGCTTCAGGTTTAAAAGTACTGCAAACTGACAGGGATTGAAGCATTTACATATGGAATACCATCTGATTCCTTGAAAAAATTAAAAAAAAAAAACCCAACTGACAAAAGAAGAATAAAACCCACCGCTTATAAAATTGAATCTAAACAAAGGGCAGAAGAAGGTGACACATTTTATGTCAATAGGAACTTGTTCCTGTCAACACTGAACATCTATTCAAACAAATTTCACGTCATGCTGAGTGAGGTTGCAACAAGCCAGATCAACCCAACCCAAACCTAGTTTGCCAGCCTCATATTTCAAAATTCAAGCTTTTATGTACAAAGAAACTAATTACCAAGATCTCTCATTATGTATACTGTACAATATAAAGCAGAATGAACACTCAAATCACCTGCACAGACCAGAATCTTGGCTACTAGGAGCAATCGTTTCTCTACTTGAGAGAACCGGTACACACCATGGGGGAAGCTGTGGCATTGCCTGCATGACCATGGAGAAGACATGAAGAAAATGGGATGGAAAACCTATCTACCTCCTAGAAAAGCGGGTATGTGAGCTGGAAGGAAGAACAAGTACAGAACATCGTCTTTTCAGGAGAAATGCTACTCCCGTTTCGAGTTATCAAGATGAGGCTGAGACCCATGCACACCACACTAAGCCATTTGTCATTAACAGGTATTATGACCAACATTAGAGGGGCCCTGCCTCCAGCCAGGCGAAGGACAGGGACAACCAAGTTTACCTGGTGTGTGGATTCGATGGCCTGGTACATCTGACCCCCAGCAGTATAAGGCTCTAGTGGACACTGGTGTGCAATGCACCCCAATGCCATCAAATTTTAAAGGAGCAGAACCCATTTGTATTTCAGGAGTGACAGGGGGGGTCAGCTGTCTGTATTGGAGGCCAGGGTGAGCCTAAGTGGAAAGGAGTGGGAAAAACACCTCATTATGACTGGCCCAGACACTCCATGCATTCTTGGCATAGATTATCTCAGAAACAGGTATTTTAAGGACCCGAAAGGTTATCGGTGGGCTTCTGGTATAGCTGCCTTGGAAAGAGAAGGAATTAAACAGCTGTCTGTGTTGCCTGGTCTCTCAGAGGATCCTTCTGTTGTGGGACTGCTGAGGGTTGAAGAACAAGGGGTGCCAACTACCACTACAACTGTGCACCGACGGCAATACCGCACCAATCGAGACACTGTAATCCCAATCCATAAACTGATTCGTCAGCTAGAAAGCCAAGGAGTCATCAGCAAGATGTGCTCCCCTTTTAACAGCCCCATATGGCCAGTGTGAAAGTCTAACGGAGGATGGAGATTGACAGTGCACTATCGTGGCCTGAATGAAGTCACGCCACTGCTGAGTGCTGCTATGCCAGACATGTTGGAACTGCAATATGAACTAGAGTGGAAGGTCGACAAGTGGTACGCCATGATTGATATTGCCAATGCATTTTTCTCCATCCCTCTGGCAGCAGAATGCAGGCCACAGTTTGCTTTTACCTGGAGGGGTGTCTAATACACCTGGAATTGGCTGCCACAGGGGTGGAAACACAGTCCCACCACTTGCCATGAACTGATTCATGCTGCACTGGAACAAGGTGAAGCCCCAGAACATTTACAGTACATTGATGACATCATTACATGGGGCAATACAGCAGAAGAAGTTTTTGAGAAAGGGGAGAAAAATAATCCAAATCCTTCTGAGAGCTGGTTTTGCCATAAAAGTCAAGGGGCCTGCACAAGAGATCCAGTTTTTAGGAGTAAAATGGCAAGATGGATGTCGTCAGATTCCAATGGAGGTGATTAATAAAATAACAGCTATGTCCCCACCAACTAACAGAACAGAAGTGCAAGCTTTCTTGGGCATTGTGGATTTCTGGAGACTGCACATTCCAAATTACAGTCAGATTGTCAGCCCTCTCTATCAAATGACTCAGAAAAAGAATGATTTTGTATGGGGCCCGGAGAAGCGACAGGCTTTTGAACAAATTAAGCAGGAAATAGTTCACGCAGTAGCCCTCGGGCCAGTTTGGACAGGGCAAGCTGGGAAGAATGGCCCTACCTGGAGTCTCTTGCAGAGAGCATCAGGGGAGACTCACAGTCGACCTCTGGGGTTTTGGAGTTGGAGATACAGAGGATCAGAAGATTGCTACACTCCAACTGAAAAGGAGATACTGGCAGCATATGAAGGGGTTCCAGCTGCTTCAGAGGTGATAGGGACTGAAGCACAGCTTATCCTGGTTCCCCAATTGCCAGTGCTGGGTTGGACGTTCAAAGGGAGCGTCCCCTCTACACACCACTCAACAGATGCCACGTGGAGTAAATGGATCGCATTAATCACGCAACAGGCTCAAATAGGGAGCCCCAGCCATCTGGGAATATTGGAAGTGATCACAAATTGGCCAGAAACCAAAGAGGAGGCCCCACCATATACTGAGCTACCAGACAATGTGCCCAGAATTACTCTGTCCCAGGTGCAGAATCCGGCATCTGTCCTTGTGCCATTCTGTGCCACCGATGAGTGCCGAATGCTCCAATCTATCCAGATCCCTCTGCAAGGCCTCTTGTCCCTTGAGAGAGTCAACAGCACCTCCCTGTTTAGTATCACCAGCAAACTTACTACCCGTGCATTCAACTCCTGCCTCCAGATCACCGATGGAAATATTGAACAGAACTGTCCCTAGAACTGAGCCCTGAGGAACAGCGCTGGGAGCCGGTCACCAGCCACATGTAGCCCCGTTCACTGGAACCCTCTGAGCCCTCAGCCAGTTCTTCACCCAGCGCACCGTGTGCCTGCTCATCCCACAGCTGGACGACTTGTCCAGAGGATGCTGAGAGGGAGAGTATCAAAAGCCTTATTAAAACCCAGAAAAATTATATGGAATAGTATCGTCTACCTTCCAGTCAGCAGGGACCTCCCCAGCCTCCCAAGATGATTGAGACACATCCTGCTGTAACATCCACTAGCACCTTCAGAACGCTGGGATGAAACCCCTCAGGGTCCATGGAGTTACGAACATTTAACTGACACACGATGTCCCTTACAACTTCAGTGTCCACTAATGGAAAGTCACTGTTCCCACAGTCATGGTCCTCTGACTCAGGGGACCAGGCAGATCAAGGTCTATCAGTATTATTCAAGAGTGAAGGCAAAAAACACACTAAAAGTCTCTGCATTTTTCTTCATCCCTATTTATCAAGTAAACATCTTCAAGATTTGGTCCAAGGGACACCTGGAATTGCAATAGCTTTTTTTTTTTTTTTAACTCCATGTCAGCATGGAGCATGTCAGATGTGTTCTTCAGCCTGTGAGGGGCACAGCACAGGTATTTTCAACCTGGCAGATGACATCAGTTAGCTAACCCTTCATATGAAAGTTGTAGGCCTAAAGGCCTTCTCATAAAAAGTGTTGTTACACTTGAGAAATTTTACGTCCAGATTTAATCAGTCTTAGGTCAGTAAATTTAGTCTGGGGCACTACAAACCCGACTACAAATAACAAGTTCTAGGTTCCAAAGCAGAAGATATGAATAGAGCAGAGAGGGTATGGTGAGCCAAGTCTGTCTACAACAGGGTACAGGAATGAAAAGGGCAAAAATGAATGCAAACAAAAGTCTCATAAAACTAAGAAATGTTAAGTGTTTGGTTTGAAAATATCTCGATAGCAAGTAGCTGATACTCTGTATGATGAGAGAGTACCCAGTAAGTGGAATGCACTTTAAGGACCTGAATTACTAAAAGCAAGGTAACAAAAGTATATTCCACACACCCTCTGCAAAACTGCGGTACATTTTACAGGCTTCAAAATCTTCTCACTCCTTCCTCAATTACAGAATCCATTTTCAAATGAGATAAGAGGAGTGAGCAGACCAGACTATTTTACTTTTAAAATCAAATTTAAGTCCAATTTCCCTCTAGTGTTACTTGAGAGAAACTGAAGAATAAGCAATACTGCAAGACAACTATTTTACACAAAAATAAAAATCTGTTCTCACTTTCTGCTTCTGCTTTTCCATTCATATCAACTCATGAGTTACATGATCTACTCCACCCACAGTATAGCAGATTAAGGGAAAGTATCATTTATCGTAAAATCTCGTATTAGGTTTAATTAAATTTGTCAATGTTAATTTTAACAGCCAAATAAATACTGCAAACATATTATGTTGTTGGGTGCACATGCGCACTCAGGCCCAGATTTATTCACAAGGCTGATTTTCAGCAAGTACCGACCCGTTAACACATGCACTGAATATCCTGAACTAAGTGGGTTACAATATTGTGTGCAAGATATAATCTAGCTGCTGCTTATTGGAAATAGTAAACTCTGCAGCTCAGTCTCGTTACACTGCACCAAAAGTTCACGACACACACCAACTCAGGACAGTACTCTAAACCCTCACTGAAAAAAAAATGTACTTAACTTCACTAACTAGAGAACACCCAGAGTTAACAACTATGAAAGTGCTCAAAATAAAACAAGCTACATAAAGCTTTACAGTCGATCCATTTCCAAAATACTGCCCCTGTTTGACAAACGAGTGATTTAAAAAATACTACATAGCCAAACGTCAGCAGTTTTGAAACCATGGTCTAATACTGAGACTATGCAGCGTCAGATGTCCCAGTGGTTCAAATTACATTCAGATGAAGCCTAGGCAACAGATCACGTACTTGTAAAATTAACCAAATTATCTGCCTATT